TGAATATCAATACTATCAATGCTAATCACAAAGCTGTCTGGCTGAGGGAGCGACCGTGCTAAGGGCTCTGCTCTAAACACATCCTGCCTCCGCAAGGTATCTATATATATATATATATATATATATATATATACCGGTCAGGCATAACATTATGACCACCTCCTTGTTTCTGCGCTCATTGTCCATTTTATCAGCTCCACTTACTCTATAGGTGCACTTTGTAGTTCTACAGTTACAGACTGTAGTCCATCTGTTTCTCTGCATACTTTGTTAGCCCCCTTTTACCCTGTTCTTCAGTGGTCAGGACCCCCATGGACCCTCACAGAGCAGGTACTATTTGGGTGGTGGATCATTCCCAGCACTGCAGTAACACTGATGTGGTGGTGGTGTATTAGAGTGTGTTGCGCTGGTATGAGTGGATCAGACACAACGGTGCTGCTGGAGTTTTTAAACACCTCAGTGTCGCTGCTGGACTGAGAATAGTCCACCAACCAAAAATATCCAGCCAACAGCGTCCTGTGGGCAGCGTCCTGTGACCACTGATGAAGGACTAGAGGATGACCAACACAAACTGTGCAGCAGCAGATGAGCTATCGTCTCTGACTTTACATCTACAAGGTGGACCGACAAGGTAGGAGTGTAATAGAGTGGACAGTGAGTGGACACAGTGTTTAAAAACTCCAGCAGCACTGCTGTGTCTGATCCACTCAGACCAGCGCAACACACTAACACACCACCACCACGTCAGTGTTACTGCAGTGTTGAGAATGATCCACCACCCAAATAGTACCTGCTCTGTGAGGGTCCATGGGGGTCCTGACCACTGAAGAACAGGGTAAAAGGGGGGCTAACAAAGTATGCAGAGAAACAGATGGACTACAGTCTGTAACTGTAGAACTACAAAGTGCACCTATATAGTAAGTGGAGCTGATAAAATGGACAATGAGCGTAGAAACAAGGAGGTGGTCATAATGTTATGCCTGACCGGTGTATATATTAGTTGAAAATACATACATATATATGTATATATAATACATATGGGATGAGGGAGAGAAGGAGGAGAAAAATGAAGCATAGGAAGAGGAAAATGAAACAGAGGTGGATGTGTGAGAAGGAAACGAAGGTGACGAAATTAACGGAGTGAAAGTGAGGACGGTCAGATTCACTCAGAGTTTATTCCCTGTATAAATATGAAGTGTATCAGCTCTGCCAGCCTCTCTAACAGCTAAATCAATACAGAGCTACAGTCTTAATCCTGTAACACAGAGAGAGAGAGAGAGAGAGAGTGAGGAGAGAGAGAGAGGAGAGAGAGAGGGAGAGAGAGAGAGCGACAGAGGCAGAGACTGAGGAGGAGAGAGAGAGAGAAAGGGTGAGAGAGAGAGACAGAGGGAGAGAGAGAGCGACAGAGACTGAGGAGAGAGAGAGAGAGAGAGAGAGAGAGAGAGAGTTTGGTGGTGACTGACTCAGCACCATCTCCACACACTCCTCCTGAGGTGACTGAGAACTATTACACATGCATATCTCTCTTTTCCTCTCTCTCTCTCTCTTTTCCTCTCTCTCTCTCTCTCTCTCTCTCTCTCTCTCTCTCTCTCTCTCTCTTCCTCCCTCCAACTCTCGCTCCTTTCTCCTTTTTTTTACTCCCCCTTTTACTCCCGTTTTACATTTGTGCCCTCATCACTGTGGTACTTTCTTTCTTTCTTTCTTACTTTCTTTCTTTCTTCTCTCTCTTTTCTTTTCCTTTGTTTCTTTTCTTTATTTTGCTTCTGTGCATTTTTCCCTCTTTATCCCCTTCTTCTCTCTCCCCTTTCATCTCTCTCTCTTCTGCTCTCTCTCTCCTCCTCCCTCCAACTCTGCTTTTCCTTCTTCTTTCTCTCTCTTTCTACTCCCCCATCTTTCTTTTTCCTCCCTTTTTTGTTTCCATGTCTTTTATCCCCATTTTACATTTGTGCCCTCATCATTGTAGTTCCACCTCTCTTTTTCTTTCTCTCCCTCTCTTTCTTTCTCTCTGTCTCTCTCCTTTCTTTTCATCTTCTTTCTCTTTTCTTTGTTTCTTTTCTTTATTTTGCTTCTGTGCTTTTTCTCTCTCTTTTTATCTCCTTACTCATCCCCTCCTCTCATCTCTCTCTCTTTTTCTCTCCTCCTTCCTCCAACTCTCTTCTTTTCCTCATTCTCTTTTTTCTCTTCTCCCCCTCTCCTTTCTCTATTCTCTGTCTTTTTTGTTTCTGTCTCTCTCTCTCTCTGTCTTGCTTTATCTCTCTTGTCCTTTCTCTCTGTCTCTCTTTTTTCCTTTTATCTTCTCTCTCTTTTCTTTTTCTCTTTTTCTTTGCTTTATTTTCCTTCTGTGCCTTTTCCTCTTTTCATCTCCTTCTTCTCTCCCCCTCTCATTTCTCTCTCTCTGTCTCTCACTGCCTCCCCTCTCTTGTTTACTTTCCCCCTCATCTCTTACTTTCTCCCCCCTTTTCTCTCTCTTCCTCCCCCTCTTTTATCCCTATTTTACCTCTGTGCCTTCTCCTCATTCTCATCATCACTGTTGTACCACCGCTGTCTTTCTTTTCCCTCTTTTCCTTTTCTCATTCTTTTCCCTCTTTTCCTTCTCCTCATTCCTTTCTGCTCTTTCTCTCTCTTCCCCTTCTCTTTTTGTCTTTTTCTCATTTACCTCATTACCCCTCTCTTGTTTTCTTTCCCCCTCATCTCTTACTTTCTCCTCACCCCTTTTTCTCTTCCTCCCCCTTTTTTATCTCTATTTTACTTTTGTGCATTTTCCTCTCTTTCTATCCTTCCTCTCTCTCTTCATTATCTCTCATCTCTCTTTTTCTCTCCCTCCTTCTCTTCTTCTCTTCACTCTCTTTTTCTTTTCCTATCCCTTTCTCCCTCTTTCTCATCTCTTTCTTTTGTTTCCTTTTCCATGTTTTTTTCAGTCCTTTCTCTCTTGCTCTATCTCTCTTCTTTCTCTGTTTCTCTATTTTCCTTTCCTCTCCTCTTTCTTTTCTTTCTCTCTCTCTTTCCCTCTTTGATGTCCATTTTACTTTTGTGCCTTTTCCTCTTTCTCCCCTTCTTCTTTCCCCCCTCTCATTTCTCTCTCTCTCTGTCTCTCACTGCCTCCCCCTTGCTTATTTCCTTTCCCCATCTCTTGCTTTCTTCCTCACCCCTTTCTCTCTTATCATCCCCCTCTTTTATCCCTATTTTACCTCTTCTCTTTTTCACTTTCTCTCCTGCTTTTCTCTCCCTCTCTCTTTTCATTCTGTCTCTCCTCACTCTCTGTCTCTTTTCCTGTCCTTTCTCCCTCTTTCTCTTCTCTCTCTTCTTTTTTTTCCTTTTCCATCTCTCTCTTGCTCTCTTCTTCACCCGTTTCTCTCTTCCTCCCCCTCTTTTATCCCTATTTTACCTTTGTGCCTTCTTCTCGGTCACATCGTGGTTGTTGTTCCTCTGCTCTCTTTCTCTTTCCCTCTTTTCTTTTTTTTTCTCTCTCTCTTTCTCACCTCTCTCTCTCTTCTCCCCTCTCTCATTCTCCCCCTTCTGTTTTTCTCTCTCGGTTCCCCATCTCTCTCTCTCTCTCTCTCTCTCTCTTCTCTCTCTCTCTCTCTCTCTCTTACCCCATTTTACTTTTGTGCCTTGTTCCCACTGCCTCATCATCACCATCCCACCACTTTCTCTCTCTGTCTTTTCATTCTCTTTCTCTTTTCTCTCCTTCTTTCTCTCCTCCTTCCTTCTTTCTCCCTTTCTTTTTCTCTCTCTCTCTCCTCCACTCTATGTGAAGGACGGTGTAACGGAGCGAGAGTAGAACTGTAGCTCACATTACAGCGTCAACTCTGAGGAGAAAGGAGCTTACTGATCCCCCTCTCTCTCTCTCTCTTTCCTCTATCACTCCCTCTTTCTTATTTCCTCTCTCTGCCTTTTATCCTCATTTCACTCTCGTGCCTCGTTCTTGTTCTCACTGTCATCATCACCATCGCTGTTACACCACCACTCTCTCTCCCCCCTCTCTCTTTTTCTCTCCCTCCCTTTCTCTTTTCTCTCACTCCCTCCCTCTCTCTCACTCACACTCGCTCTCTTTCACTCCCTCCCTCTCTTTCTCCCTCCCTCCCTCGTTCTCTCATGAATGTCACCTTTACTGGTGGCAGCGGCTGGATTCGCGCACACACATACACATGGGCTTTGGGGGTGGGGGGGCAGGTAGGGTTGTGGGGAAAGAGGGAGAGAGAGAGAGAGAAAGAGAGAGAGAGCATGCCAAGAGGTGGAAGACAAATATTCTCTCTGTCCATCCTTCTGTTGCCGGCTTCAATCGTCCATCTCTTATGTTACCGACACTGAAAGTCGCCGTGGATACGGACGGGGCTGGATTACTGCTCTAGATTATTTTTCAGAGGATGCTAAACTTAACCGTCCGGCCGCTGCGTTCTGAGCTGACCATCTGGCAGATATTTTCAGGATCTTTCTGAATAATCCAGGACAAAAAGGAGGGAAAACTTTACAGCTGGAGGAAAAGGAGGAGAGCGTCGCACTGGTAAGGAAATCTTTAGCTGCTCCGTTTCTGTTCCTTTCTGAAGACGCGTTTGGGACAAACTTTAGCCACGTCAGTGCTTTTCCGGTCTTCGGAAGCAAGCCTGGAAGGGGGTGGGGTGGGGTGGGGGGCGAGTACGAGTATGCCAACGATTTCGCAATGATGACTCCTTCAGCATCTTCGCTTCTCTTTTCCTGGAAATGTGACGGTTTACGTGTTTGGACTTATTTCGCTGCTGGTTTACGTTCCATAAGACTCGTATGATGAAGGCTAAACCCGAGTCGGCTGGAGACTCTAATAGAACTTAACGTTTTCTAGTTTTCTAATTTTCTACCAGTTTCAACACAACAGAAACAAACTCACACCTTCTGATCCCCCGCAAGGGGGGGTCCCACCTACTGTATTATCTCTTGGGCCGGGCAGGTGAACGAGGGAGCACCGGAGAACAGGTACTGAGGAAACCCGGAGACCCCCCTCCCGAAAGTGAGAGGGGGGGAAGATGGCAGCTCTTGCCAGCTCACTCATCAGACAAAAACGGGCGGTCAAGGACGACCAGGCCAACCGGCCGATCGCCAACAAGCGCAAGCCGTGTCCAAAGAGCAACAAGTCGCTTTGCCAGAAACAAATCCTCGTCCTCATCTCCAAAGTGCGGCTATGTGGCGGCCGAAGAGGGAGAACCGACAAAAGGCCAGGTAGGGCCACCTTCCTTCATCTTGGTTTAACTCTTGACACCCCAACAAACCACAAATGGGTCTTAACTTTATTTTTCTCACTCATATAACGACAGAACTTTGTTTTCATAATAGATGCTGAATAATTCATAGTGCATACGGAATAATTCATACTGGTTACTAAATAATTCATAGTGCATACGGAATAATTCATATTGGTTGCTAAATATTTCATAATAGATACTGTATAATTCATACTGGTTACTAAATAATTCACAGTAGATACTGAATAATTCATACTGGTTACTAAATATTTCATAATAGACACTGTATAATTCATACTGGTTACTGAATGCTTCATAGTGGATACTGAATAATTCATAGTAGTATTTATTGAATAATTCATACTGGTTGCTAAATAATTCACAGTAGGTACCAAATAATTCATAGTGGTTAGTGAATAATTCATAGTAGGTAGTATAAACCAAAACATGTGCATAATAAGTAAAGGAATAACATGATAACTGAATACTAAGCTGACAGATTTACAAAGTTAAATATGTTTCAATCCGTACTGTGTTTATGTCAAAACATATTAAAATAATAACAAAGTTTTGAGCAAAAAATAAAGGTACACCAGGGCTTTCCTCCCAGCTGACAGGAGTCCTCTCACATGATAGAGCCTCTAGCTTTGAAGTCCAGGAAAAAAACATATGTGAATATTAGAAATATGGTTTGAGGAATTGTAAACAATGATTGGTGATGTATTTTAGGAATCTCAAAATAATTAAATGTTCTGAAAATTTAGATGATGTTTTTAGTTTCCTCTCAGATGATGCTGCTTCACACATTTAAGTGCAGGAAAAGCAGAGTAAATAATTGTAAATAAATAAGCTGTTGTAGTGAAATCCAGTGGCCGTCCACACGCAGCGCTGCTAAGCTGTGTGATGTGAATAGCTATGAATCCAGCTGCTGTTTTATGAAGGATGCATGTGTGTGTTTGTGTGCATGTGCGTGTGTGTGTGTGTGTGTGTGTGTGTGTGTGTGTGTGTGTGTGTGTGTGGAGGTAAGCCCTCTATAAGGAGTGATTTACACTCTCTTAAAGTGTCCCACATGCGTGTGCTATTCTGGGTCACTTTCACCTTTCAGACATGCCTCCGGGACACGCATTATTACACCGGGCCGCATCACCACCTGTGTACGAGTGAACGTGAGGTCCTGTATGTTTAGTCCGTGCTAAATTGTGCAATCAGGGACAGAGTAACGCATATACAGTGTTTTCTAGGTTCCACTCACCAGTGACCTTGCCCCCGGCTAAAGAAACCAATTGACCTGACCACGCTCTGCCCACAAGGGTGCTCTTTTGTAGCTACTGCTGTAAGGTTGGAAGAGCTTTACAGAATGTTTATAGAAAAGACTGCTTTGAAATATTGAACAGAATTGTTTGTTGTCTGTAATTTTTAGCTAATTTTATTTATAAGAACTGCCATGCTTGTTCTATTTAGCGCCTTAAACGGTCAGGACCCACTGGCAGGCCCAAAGTTTTATTACACACTTCTATAACCTAAGCCAGTTAGCATTAAAGTCCCTGTAGTTACTGAGTAATAAGTCTTATTATGTAATAAGCCTGAGATTTTAAGGGCTTTAAATAAAAGTATTGTTAAATTTTGGTTAGAAATGAAGTATTACATTTTTAAGATGCCCCAGAGAAAACTGTCCAATCAGGATTGTTTTCTCTGTGGTATCTAGGTAGATACAGTCAAGCGAGCTCTCCCATTGGTCAGGACTTCAGGAGCTGGACTGAAGGCCTTACACATTAGATTAGCTTCCAACATAATTAGAAAGTGACAGAGGAATCGACCAATCACGCTTTGATTTACAATTGGACCAGTTTTGTGGGAAAAACGACACTCTAGTTCTTCTGGAAGTTCTAGATACATCACTGACTGTGAATATGAATCATGCTCAATCATACAAGCTCAAATATAAGATAATGTCTGTTACAAGATTCACATAAAACATATGGAATATAATTTACAGACTTCAAATGTCTGTCTGAAAAAATATTAATGTGAGTTGCCATTAGCTCAAGGTTAATGTACTACTAGAGTCCCACAGAGGTGCTAGCAGACCTTAGCATTAGAAGTGAAGGCCTAGTTCTAATAGTTGGTGACTGTAGAAATTATATTCAAACTTAAAGAGAACTCATAGCTGTATATGTCTTCAGATATGCTACATAATGTTGAGTTTCCAGAATAAAATAAAAGTTGTTTAAGCCACACTCTCAGAAATAAAGGTAGTAAACTGTCTCTGGGGCGGTTCCCCTCTTGTGAACCCTCAAGGGTCCATCTCAGTACCTTTAGTCAGGGAACATAACTGAACCATAATCCACTGAAATGATATGTTCTAAGCTGTACTGACTCCACACACCCCGTCTCGTCTCCAGGCTTTTATTTTACTGTTCTGTTTTACAACATTCGGTTATGAAAAGGTAGAAATACGAACTTTTCACCTGGAAAAACTTATTTAAGGTTCACAATCAGACCTTAGAACCACTGTTGATCCTTTGAGGGAACATTTACACTGTTTGGACCTTGACAGACCAAAAATGTACCTGCACAGAACCTTTATTTCAGTGACAGTAGTGGGTTTTCCATCCACCATGAAATTTGAAAACATGCCAAATATATATATGTTGATGCTATGAACAGGTGTAAAAGATGGAATATTGCTAAAGCCGGAATGTGAAAAAGGAAAAGCTTTTTTCAAATAAACGATGATGTATCAAGCTGTAAGTGAGAAACGGTTGGCCCTACAGATGAGCCAATCATGGCACATATTTTCTGAAGGTTGCTTTTGACATTCTGAAATGCCTCCAAAGCTAATTTGAAAAATGACTCTGCACAATGTGCCTCAGAACCGTCTAGTGCGTTTGCGTTTCCAGACACAAGGTGGACGTCATCGGGGTGGCAGATTTCAGTCCTCATTAGGTGGCGCCATTGCTCGTCCTGCCTGGCGTCTCTCAGCTGCGAACAGCACAGCCATAAAAAGATAGCAAATGGCTGTAAAGATGATTCTTAAATACTGATACTTAAATAATGATGCTTAAAGCAGAAACTGAGGTAAATCCCTCCGTCTTGCTCGTTTTGATGCGTTTTGATCCCCTAATCACAGCAGAACACATCATCTAAAGTTTCTTCACACAACTGCAGTGGATGGAAACATGACTTAGTTTGCATTTTTCCTGCCAACATTTCATAAAAGCGCATAACGCCTTGAATGGAAACCTGGCTAATGACAAAGTAGCCACCATGGTAACGCTAGTTTGATTACATAAGAAGAAGAACTGCACTCAGTCTGTCCTGACAGTGTGACCTTTCACACACATAAAGAATAAACATCATTTGAAATTAATAACACACCCAAAATGTCTTTTTAAAGTTGAGTGAGAAGAGTAAATACCAACAATAAAAAAAAAGGTATGGGCTGCAAACGCTGCATATTTGTTGTGTCAACAAAAAGACTAGAAATGCAAATAATGAAGTGAAGCAGAAAGACCAGCTTCTGTTTACCTTCCGCTTCCATGCAGGAGGTCTGTGCGTTTTGAATTTGGAGTGTTGAATAAATATGAAGTGACTGCAAAAAGCAAAGAGAGGAAAAAGAGAAAGGTGGAGCTGCGCATGGACGAGAGAGAGAGAGAGAGAGAGAGAGAGAGAGAGAGAGAGAGAGAGAGGTGTTGTGTGGAAATGAAAGTGATTACAGGGAGGGGTATTAATGTCGTACCTGAGAGTGTTTATGAATCCCGGCATAATGTTGTTCCGTAAATATTTACATTCCTCTCAAATCTGCCAGATGAATTATCACATTGTGCTGCATGTTATCATAATATGGCAATATGGCCAGGAGCTGTAGAGAACACAGACACGCTCGTGTGTGTGTGTGTGTGTGTGTGTGTGTGTGTGTGTGTGTGTGTGTGTGTGTGTTTACACCGATCAGGCACAACATTCTGACCACCTCCTTGTTTCTACACTCATTGTCCATTTTATCAGCTCCACTTACTGTATAGGTGCACTTTGTAGTTCTACAGTTACAGACTGTAGTCCATCTGTTTCTCAGATACTTTGTTAGCCCCCTTTTACCCTGTTCTTCAGTGGTCAGGACCCCCATGGACCCTCACAGAGCAGGTACTATTTGGGTGGTGGATCATTCTCAGCACTGCAGTGACACTGACGTGGGGGTGGTGTGTTAGTGTGTGTTGCGCTGGTCTGAGTTGATCACACAAGCCAGATATTGTGCATAGAACGTCCAACATACACAACATACACTCTTAAAAAAGATTGTTCTTCAAGGGTTCTTTAGTAAAGACAATGGTTCTGTGCGATCTATATAGAACCGTCCCATGCTTAAATGGTTCTTGGCATGGTGAAATTGTTCTTCAGGTTGATGCTTGTTCAGATTGATGGTAAATGGTTCTATATACCTTCAAAAAGGGTTCTTCTGTTGAAATAATGTTGACATCGTATCAATAGCAGAACACTATTTGGTGCTATATAGAATCATTTTCAAAAAGGTGCTATATAGAACCATTTACAGCACATTCTCCATCAATCTGAAGAACCAATTCACCATGCAAAGAACCATTTAAGCATGAAAGGGTTCTATATAGAACTCATGGTTCTATATAAAACTATTGCCTTTAAAGAACCATCTTTTTAAAGAGTGTATATCATCAGATAAACTAATATCACAGCTATTATAATGTATTACCCATCCAGGCTCCGCCCACAAATACTTTCTTTCATAGCTACTGTTGTGAGATTGGACAAGCTTCTCAACCTAATGAGAAACTGTAGAACAGACTCAGTTTATATCACAATACCTACATTTAGAGTCAGTTATTCATTCAGCCTAATGAGAAACTGTAGAACAGACTCAGTTTATATCACAATATCTACATTTAGAGTCAGTTATTCATTCAGCCTAATGAGAAACTGTAGAACAGACTAAGTTTATATCACAATACCTACATTTAGAGTCGGTTATTCATTCAGCCTAATGAGAAACTGTAGAACAGACTCAGTTTATATCACAATACCTACATTTAGAGTCGGTTATTCATTCAACCTAATGAGAAACTGTAGAACAGACTCAGTTTATATCACAATACCTACATTTAGAGTCGGTTATTCATTCAACCCAATGAGAAACTGTAGAACAGACTAAGTTTATATCACAATACCTACATTTAGAGTCAGTTATTCATTCAACATAATGAGAAACTGTAGAACAGATTCAGTTTATATCACAATACCTACATATAGAGTCAGTTATTCATTCAGCCTAATGAGAAACTGTAGAATAGACTCAGTTTATATCACAATACCTACATTTAGAGTCAGTTATTCATTCAGCCTAATGAGAAACTGTAGAATAGACTCAGTTTATATCACAATACCTACATTTAGAGTCAGTTATTCATTCAGCCTAATGAGAAACTGTAGAATAGACTCAGTTTATATCACAATACCTACATTTTTGTAGGTATTGTGATATTCATGAAGTATTTGTCAGAGTTTATCAGTAATATCTTTAACGGTAATCAGACCTTCAGTCTTGAGTATTTTGGTCTCTGCCCATTCAAAGAGATAAGAGCCTGGTCTTGTATGGCTGGAAATAACTGCCCAGCGGCGTTGCAAAGATAACCACAGAGTAAGCAGACTTTCCTATGAGGGATTTGCATTAGCTCAGGGCTCATGGCTGCAATAGCATCTCCACTTGTCTGCACAATCACCCTTCCCTGTCAGTGGAACTACAAGAAAACAATTGAACAATTAACTATGAGTATGTAACTGTAAGTAAGTGACTAACTTCTAGTAAGTTAGAGAACCGCAGTGGAGCTTTAGTCCATCCAGCATCTATCATGATAGGAAGTAAAGTTTGTGCAGCTCCGTTCTTCTGTTTTTGAATCCTTTTGGTCTAAAATGAAATGCTGAAGCTCCAAAAGTGAGAGATGTGAGCAACTGTAAGGCAGAACAGGAGCTGAACCAACACAACAGAATGAAATTAAACCCAAACATTCACGACTAACACTCAACAGAGGAACATGTAGATTAACTGTAATCTGTAATATACATGCATAGAAATAGAAATATTATTATTTAAAAATAACCTGGAAAGTACAAATTCAGCAATTCATGTTTACTGAAGTACATGGAACTGAATACTCAGCAGGTCTGGAGTTTTCAGACCTGGGAGTTACATGATGCAGACCAGCCCACCTTAAACTGTATCTTACCCTCTGGGGTCCCGATTTGCGCATATCTCCTTAAATTGTCCTTTAAAGACTCTTGCATATAACGTGATACTCCTATGTCCCATATCAAAATGCTTGTTATGAAACATTCAGGTGTTCAAACCTGTTATTTTGCATAGAATCGTTTTGAAAAGCGAGTCCCCAAACGTTTGACAGGCAGTGTAAACCTACACTACTGCTCAAAAAATTGGGGTCACTGATTTCATTTACATAAAACCATTTTCTTTGAAGATACGAATAAAAATTATTACATGATGAAAATAATTTCTTACAAGTTTCAAAGCGTTTGTAGGAAGCTGCAAAAATGAAGATGCTTTTGATGATAAACTGAGCTGTAAGTGATTTCATGATAAGTGAAAAACACACAACATTGAAAATGAACTTATAAAGTATCATCCATAA